ACCTGCTTAACTGATTATGATTCAATTTTTATGTTGAAATAAAATTGAGAATGGAAATGGGGAATGTGTCAGAGACAACAACCCGACTAAAGAGCAGAAAACAGCCCAAGGCCACCAATGGGTCTTCAACGCAGCGAGAAAATCCCGCACCCGGAGGCGGGCTTCAGCTGGCCCCAAAACAAAAATGTGTACTAGCTAGTTCATTGAAAATGAACGTCACACTAAACTCCGAAACATATAAATGAACTAAAATAAAAAAAAAACATACAAGACTAACAAAGGCCAGAGGCTCCTGACTTGGGACAGGCGCACAAATGCGGCCTATAATATCAAGGTCCGATTAGTCTATAGTGAGTCCAAGAAACTAAACTTAACATTATCAATGATGCATGAAAAAAAATGTCAATGTCGGATGAACCCTATCTGACGGCTGCAAGCCAATCATTCTATACACCCAATATACAGGTTTTGAGAAACAGACCTAACCAGAAAAACTGAACGTTGACCAAGATACAGTTATTTACGTAATATATATCTCTGGTTGACCAATTGTACCATGGAAATTAATTCAAATTCAGATGAACAGGGCACGACCAGATGGATATATAGATCTAAAAATCATTCTATAATTCTATAAGTATAACCCAAAATAAATGACCTTTTACTATTAGTTTCTAAAAAAAAAAACAATCAGGTTTTAAGTGGTCTTTGACACATGGAAATGAAATCAACGATAACGGATATGCTCCAGACAAAAGCCTCATACTATATTGCATCGGTATTCCAATAATGGCTTATAAAGCATTTCTACCTTCTAAACTTTTTGTTTTTGTGCCTCTTTCCGATTTGTGGAGTTAAACCAATTGCTACTGATCTTTAAACTTTGTTCTTAAGGTATGCTGTTGCACCACTGTCACAGGTTATGGGAGGGCTGAGTGTTCACGAAAATATTTGCGCTCAACCCTCCCTTATCTCAGACAGTGGTGTAACAGCACAGCAACAAAATCAAACTCAGTGTAACAAGATTGCACACACTGAAATGTCTTGCCTACTGTACTGATCATAATTGAAAGGTTTTACTAAAGGTATCATGCACTTCACATTATCATTAATCCACGAAAATGACGTCAAGGTTAGACGGACATGTACATCCTACAATTATTCCATGCAAGTAATGTAGTTGACCTATTTTTTTATATTACCTTATAAACAAACCTAACCATAAAAGGTTAACATTGACCAATGAACCATGAAAATAAGGTCAAGGTCAGGTAAACCTGGTAAACCACGTAAGACGTACATGTACACCTTGTAATCATTCCATACATGAAATATAGTTGACTGATTGGTTATAGATTGAAGTTGAGAAACAGATCTAACCATAAAAACTTTAACATTGACCAATGCACCATGAAAATTGGTTTAAGGTCAGATAAACCCTGTAAAATGTACATGTACACTTTGTAATCATTCCATGCACCAAATTTAGTTGACCCATTGCTTATAGTATCTGAGAAAAAGACCTTACCATGAAAACTTAGCATTGCCCAATAAAAAATGAACAGGAGGTTTTAGGTCAGATGAACCCTCCCAGACACACATGTACACCTTGCAATCATTCCACACACCTAATATAGTTGACATATTGCTTATAGTATCTGAGATACAGTTCTAAACATGAAAACTTATTAAATTGAATATGAAAACAAGGTCAAGGTCAGATGAACACTGCCAGACAGAAAATGTGCACCTGACAATAATTTCAAGTACTAAGTATAGTCAACATTTTACTTATAGTATCTTAACAACTGACTTTACAATAAAAACTTAACATTGACCAAGAATCATGAAAATTAAGTCAATGTCAGACAACCCCTGCTAGACTGATGTGTGCAACATGGAATCATTCTAAACACCAAATATTGTTGACTTAGTGTGTATAGTACTAATTTTGTATTTGAGATACAGACTTGACAATAAAACTTAACCTGGATCACTGATCCATAATATGAGTTCAAGGTCAGGTGAACCTTGTCTGATGGACATGTAGACCTTACAATGATTCTATGTACCAAATATAGTTGTCCTATAACTCAAATTAAGTCAGAAAATCACCTATTATAAAAACAATACCTTTTTTCAAGCAGTTTCTGAACCATGATACTGAGGTCAATTGCAATGGACATGTGCCAGACAGAAACTTTGTAACAGGCAATCTGTATACAAGATATGAAGTATCCTGGTCGTCTTCTCCTTCTGAAATATAACGTTTTATACAAATAAATTATTGCCTTCCCTGCTGCTGTCAAACTAGCAGCCCTCTGTCTTGCATTCTTGCATTCTAGGACCTATCATAGGGGAGAAAAATATCTGATTGTCATGATGCACAAGAAAAAAACCAAAAACACAAAGAACCAATCTAAGAGTACACAGTTACTGAAAGCTATTTCAAAGACAATTTGAATTAATATGTAAAACATAATTTATAAAAATAAGAAGATGTGGTATGATTGCCAATGAGACAACTATACACCAGAGTTCAAATGGCATGGATATAAGCATGTTTTCCCAGATTAAAATATCAATCAGTACACATTCAACAGATTAAGTATAAAGATGTCATAAACAGTTTGAGAAAAGCATAACCTTGTGCAATTCCTTAACATAAGTATGGAAAGAATGTAGGACCATAACTGTTCATCACTTTATAATAATACATATTTAGTTATGTCTATCTCTCGGAGGAGTTGGTTGTTGGTAGATGGTTTTGTTGTTTGTTGAAAGGTCAATATTTTTGGTACCAGTAATTCAAGTTTTCCTTTCTATGTATTATTTTGTTCAAATAAAAATTTTCCTTTCAGAATGTCTTATAAATTTGATATTCCAATACTAGTTCACCTTATTTCTCATCACAAAGAAATAAACTTCTACATTGTAATACCTAATCAATTATAGGTATAACATCAAGATCAAAATTATTTATCTAAACTAAACAGACCACACAAAACTAAGAAGTTATTTTCTTTCAAGTTTTCTTTCCTTAACTATTCAACCAATCAAAATCTATATACGTGGCTCCAACATGGTCAAATCTGAGCTGCAACCTTAGGGGTTTGGCTGGCAACCTTTTGACCTGACATCTCTGAGCGCAGCTGGATACGACCGCAGAGGTCCAACCCTGAAATGTTGGTGCAAAAATGGACACAATATTCGCGCTTGATACAGGTCTGAATTTGGATTGTAATTCAATATTTGACACATAATAGGTTTCTGACACAGAATAACTGTAGTCAAAGAACTAAGAATTGGTTATATGATTTGAATTTATATTCAATTTTTTGCTTTTGTGCAATACACTATGCTGTTGCGAATTGACCTCCCCCCCCCCCTTTTTAAAAAAAAAAAAAATTGAAGGATTTTCTTTTTGATTTCTGAAATCTTGAGGAGACAAAAATGTCCCCCCCCCCCCAATTTTTTTTTAACCCCTCCCCCTTTTTAAAAAAAAAAATCTTTCCCTTAGTCATGGCCATAATTTCAATTCAAATTTCCAATGGAGTTTGCAACCATAATAACCCATTCAAATACATCATAAAAGTCTTAAAATAGAAAATGACATAAATAATCATAGCTAAAATTAATTTACCTTAATCAGCATTTTTAAAATTATTAAAATAGTAACTTCTAAAAATGAATTGACAGCTAATCACCTCAAGACAATACAAAAATTCTTTATACATAATTTAAAGCAGTGTAAGGGAGGTAATTCAAAGTTGTGTTTGAATTACCTCCCTTACACTGTAATTTGTACTTAAGTAATTGTCCATTAACCAGGACACCCTTGTTTTTTCTCACTTTTTTGCCCCTAATTCCTAAACGGTTTGAGCCATAACCCCCCAAAGCCAATCATAACCATCCCTTCGTGGTATGGAAACTTGTGGTATAATTTCAGAGAGGTCCATACACGGTTCCACAAGTTATTGTCATGAAATTAGAAAAATGCTTATTTGGGCCCCTTTTTGGCCCCTAATTCCTAAACTGTTGGGCCCATAACCCCCAAAATCAATCCCAACCTTCCTTTTGTGGTTATAAACCTTATGTTTAAATTTCATAGATTTCTATTTACTAATACTAAAGTTATTGTCCGGAAACTAAATGTCTTCGGACGACGACGACTACATGATACCAATATACGACTGCAAAATTTTTTGCGGTCGTATAAAAAGATACCAGTGACCTATATATTTAAGGGGTTATGGACATATGGCTGGGGATGTCTGTTTTAATTTGCTTAAAAGTTACCTGGTGAATTTTTTTTATACATGACCTTACGACCTACTGGAGCCCAAAATAGTTGATTTAAGCTCATGCAGTGATAGCATGAGGCTGGCTAATTATAGCTTTAACACAAAACATTACATCATCTTAAATATAAAGTTAAGAAATATAGGAAAAGTAACAATAGCAACTTTGATTGGACGACATCACATATGAAGAGGAGGTAAATTCCTCATTTTATGTGAAAGAATCTTTGTGCACTAGAAAATAAATTTTCTGTTTATACAAAAATCCTTTTATTTTGTGTGTTACCTATGATTGATTGATTGATAAGTTGTTAGCTTCACATCCAGTACCAACATGTCACCTTTGATTCCTTTGTTTATAAAAGGCAAAATCACTTTAGCAATTACATTTAGTACACTTAATTGGATCAACCCATAAAACTTTTCTAAATCTACAAAGAATGGTAAGAATTTGAGCTAGGAAACAAGAATGTTCATAAATGTAAATGATAACATCAACAATGACAGGGTTCTACCATAGTTTTATGATCAAAATCACTAAAGTCACTAAATAAGAAAACCTCAATTTTTGTCAGATACTATAAAAAAAAAAAAAATGATCAAAGTTGGTATATTTTTGGAAAATATAAAAAAAAATCACTCATGTAGTCTGAATAAAATCATATTTGTCCTAGAATATCCAACAATATAAACATGGAATAATATAAATGACTTTATTGTGATTGTTTATAAGTGTAAATATATCAGTGCTTTAAAAGCTATATAAATATACAATCGACATGCATGATGTCATAGTTTAATGCTCTATCATGGCTAAGCCATACATTTAACTTGCCATTTTATCAAACTTAAAAGGAAGACCAGAGATTCTGAAGAACTTGTGTCATGCTCAATGTCAACAATGGCCACTCAGTATACATAATTGGCCAGTATTTCAAATTTTTGTGAAATTTTGTATGCACTTGACACTCATCTGGAAATCGAAAAAAAAATATGGTATGTACCATTTATACATTAAGTGATACAATCAATATAAATCTATGAAAAGACCTACAAATCAGTTTTAATGTATAGAATGTAGGCTGTGAAAAAATGCAATTTTTACATTTAAAGTTGTGATCTAGGACAACATTTATTCATATCAATATATTATTGTTTGAACATTTCCTTTTTGGAGATAATATATTAGGAATTACCAGATTCATTTTTGCTGTTTAAATCATATAAGTTTGAGTGTTGTTTGAAAAACCAGGAGAACTATGATTTTGAAGTTGATGATTTAATGATTTTATGTTTCTTTTGTCCTTTTTAAGTCTGTTTTCACTATACAACAAGACTCATTGATTTATACTGACCCCACATAAATTTTATATCTTTACAACAAAATTTTCATAGCCATAACCATGATAACATATCATTTCAAACAAATTCTGTGGACAGAATTTAGATAACTTGCAATTCAAAGTTTTAAAATGTATTTTTTTACCTTTTTATGTACATTCTTTTTACTTATAGATCTATTCATCAAATTTTAATTGCTTTTATCTCTTGAAGTATTCAATTTTTTTGATATTCAGATGCAGCTCAACATGTTCCTAATGCTAAAAAAATTTCATCATATCAGAAATACCACCAATTTACTTAAAGTAATATGCACAACCCTAATAATTTTTGTTCACATTTATATGTTAAATACAGTTGGGAAAATAAACTACAAATTTACTTTGTCTGAAAGATAACACCTAACAGGTATGCTTTCCAATGCACTGAAATAAAAAACCTATCAAATATCAGTTTGGTATGAGTAGATGTAGGAAGGTGGGGGTAACAAGCAAAACAAACCAAAATCAGAAAACACACACATCTATAGTCTAATAGTCTAGAAGTTAGTCAGTGTCCTCCTTCAATTTATTTATATTTTCAATCATTTTAACAAAGAGTTTGGGAGGTGCAAACACATAGCTCCTGTGTCCTTGAATATTCTAAAAAACAACAAAATATAGAAAAAACCAATATAAAACTCTTAAAATGACAATGAACCATCATAAAAGCACTACATAAATTACAGTTATTGTGACTTTTTAAGTCAGGCTCATGTATTATTTCATAAGAATTCTCTAAAGCAGATGTTTGATAGCCAGCAGTCATCCATACAATTATGTAAAGACTTCTTCATTGTTGCTCTAGTTCAACTAGTACACCATTACAGTCTTTTGGGTGGAGGAATACGACTGGTTTGCCATGTGCTCCAATTTTAGCTTCATCACTTAACAATCGGATTTTCTTTGATTTTAAATCCTTCATTGCCTCTTCTATATTGTCAACCTGTAATGTACGGAATTGACATTTACCTTCATTAACATTACATATACTGAATTAATAAGAACCAGGATAAAATTCAGACAACATTTTTTAAAATGGGTGTATTTCTCATTTTACTAAGAAAAGTAAATTTTATATACAATATAGGTAAAAATGACACAATTTGATTTTTTAAAATTTATGTCTATATTCATTCTGAAAATCCTGCAATAACTGTCATACAAGTGGGTGGTATTGGAAGTGTTAGGACTGAAACATGCAATTGCTCATTGTTCCCATGGGGATTTCCTGGATTTTCCAAGAGGGTGTCCAGCCTATATTGATTTGGACATTTTTTATATATATCTCAAAGTTTGGCATTGCTTGTTATTCTCCATTCTTGTTCTTATATTCCATTATATTATTATATTGATTGTTTCCCTTTCCCTTTCTTATTCTTGGTAATAAATTCTGCATAACTCTCATGGTGACAGAGAGTGAGATAACCAAAGGTCTGGATTTCTAATGGATAGTCTCCATTTTACATCAGGCTACTGATACTGAAAAAAAATCTTTGTTATCCAAAGTATTTATTAGTTATTTTATTTTTTATTCATTTTAATATATATATATATATATATACTTTTTTCCTAATCTATATTTCCACAAAAGTTTGAAAAAAATTTGTCTTGTATTTTCAGAGACGCAGCAATTCCATAGATCAGTAAAAGTCAAGAACAAGGTAATTCAAAAATATAAGGCAACTTATAAACAAAATAGGTTGAAAAACTAAAACACTGTTAGAAGGTCCTTAAAATAACGTAACCACCTACATTTCTCAGGCAGTTTATGATATCTTTTTACCCTAAATCCGTTGGATGTGTACAGATGGATACTTAATGGGAAAACATGATTTTTTAATAAGTTGTAATCACCTTTGAACTAGCTTTCAGTAAGTGCAAGTACTCTAATATTGGAGCTTTAAATTGGTTTTTTTAAGTTACTGTGGATTCTTTATTATTTGTTGGATACAAATTTTCGTAGGTTTTGTGGATACAGGTGAACCACGAATTCAAATGTTCAACAAATTACAAATTTTCTATAGGCTTTGAATGCAGAGATTGCCAAAACAACGAAATCAAATACCCATGAAATGCAAGTTTTCCTCAATCCACGAAAATTGATACCCACGAAAATAAATGAATCCACAGTAGTTGATTTTTTAGTTTCATACCTTTTTAGTGAGTTAAGCCATTTTCAACTGATTTTTACAGTTTGTTATTATGTTGTGCTGTAATACCACTATCCCAGGTTATGGGGGAGGGTTGAGCTCTCATAAACATGTTTAACCCCACCACATTTTTTATGTGTCTGTTTCAAATAAGGCTGTTAGTTTTATCGCATTTGAATTGTTTCACATTTTTCAGATCTTTTCATGTTGGGCCTTTATAGCTGAATATAAGGTATGGATTCTTTCATTGTTGAAGGCTGTAAAGTGAACTATAATTTCTTTGTCATTTGAACTTGGGTGGATAGAAGCCAATCATACCACATCTCCTCATTTTTCATATTAAAAGCATTTGATTGAAAAGAAACACTTTGATCTGATTTTAGTCTGTTTAGACCTGTGTTTTTCTTAACAAAATAAAATTATTTATAACACTTTTGTTTGAGGCAATCTATCTGTTATCTCACCTCTATACATATGTGATGCATACCACCACTTTTATTTTTGTCTAAAAAATTCTGAATTGGGCTTTTATCTCCTAATGGATTCAGTAACTGAAAATAATAAAAATACAATGAGGACAAGTTAGCATGTGACCTGAAAAATAAACTGAAAATATTTAACACATAATTTTGATACATAAAAATTTGAAATCATCAGCATTTAAAACCAAGTGAATCTAACATGTGATAGTATATGAACATAGCAAAACATAGAGCAGTTTTTTTTCAATAAAATCACATAGTAATTGAATAAGAATGGTGATTAAAATTATTTCTAAATATGGCCTTTTATTGGGTTAGATTGGTGATGTAAAATAGTTCTACATATTATCATTTTTTACCCATTGAATATGTTAAGAATGGTGATCTAAAATATTTCTAGGTTATATGGACTTCTCTTTTCAATTAAATACTTTTGGCTTACCAACAAACAAACAAAATGTCATGCAAAATATTACCTCAATTTTTGTGTCTCCAAGTTCAACAAATACAGTGTATACACCATGTTCAGGCTGTGGCTATTAAAATTACAAGATTCAATTATTTAGAAAAAAAAATCTTTTAATATAAGAAACAAATGTATATTCAAACATTTCAAGTACAATATTAATAAATTTGGAATTAACATATCGTATGTATAGCAAAATATATTTAACAAAAAGAATCTGTATATTTTTCAATCTATGTATTAAGTATGCCTTTTTTGTAGGTTCAGTTCTCTTGCAGTTTCAACCAAATGTAAAATTTGTTTTTTTTAAAAAGGACACAAGTATATGGTAACCAAATCGTTGAGTTGTACTTCATTTCTGCATACATTCCTAAAAGTTTTCAGTAAAATTTTAAAGAGTGCTCTTTTATTTTTGTAACTATCGCATAGTGCAAATAAAAATATATGACTATTAAACATTTCAACAAAACCATAAAACAAATACAAAATAAAACATCTATATTTATATAGGAAACTGATTTCCAAGGTATGTGTTGCTATTCTCAAATTGCAGATATGCATTTTTAATACGAGCTGCATTCTAGTGACTGAACAATGATAAGATCTATAAGACTAAATGAGGAGACCTGTTTTTGTGTGTCGATTCTCCAACTACCTGTCTACCTGTACCAGATTATTTTTATTTTTTGTATGACTCTGTGTCCTGAAGCTAGCATGCACTGTTTAGTTTGTTATCCTTACCATTGCTTACTCTTCATTATATAGTTTTGATCATATGAGGAAAAGTTAGGAAAAGAAAATGATTTCAAAAATGTTCCTCCCGAAATACGATTTCATTTTACCCGTATGTCAATACTTAATTTTCCTAAGGAAGCACATGTGACAAAAGATATGACTGAAAACTAACAATGAACTACAACCAAGATTGGTCCAAAAAACAAAAAGAACTTTCTAACAACATGCATCACAATTTTCTTAAATGATAATTAAATTATGGATTAATTTCAAAACTTCCGTTTCCCATGTAAGCACTGGTCACTTGATGAAACATATGAATAAAAGCCAACAAGATATCCAAACAAAAATGTACCACAACTTTCCTACATGAAACAAATTGAATAAACATATCATAAATGAAAATAAAATAGGGATAAATCTAACATAATTATGTTCATGAAAAACAGAATAAAGCATGACAAAAAGTCTGTTTGTCATTTACTTTTTTAAACTTAAGAAATCACAACATGAACATTATCAGTTGATAATGTAAATTTGAAAATAATTGAGTCCAAGACCAACAGAATAAATTGATCAAATGAGACAAAAATAGTACACCTACTTCTTTCAACATGTATTTATTAGTCAACAATGCAAATTAAAACATGATAAAGCAATGCACATCTCCATGATGTGGTAGGTGTCTACATGCATGGTTGTTATTTTTAACCTCTCTTTCACAATGTGTGTTAGACTCCAATCTTAATTGACTAGAATTTGCCAGTTTTTCTGCCAAAGGTCAGTGGTTCTCTCAAAGTAATCTGGCTTCCTCCAACAATAATAAAGAGCTGTGCCATGAGCGCATGAAATGCCCGTCACTTTTTCAAAGAATAAAGTTCCATAACTCCTCAATGTCATTTCAGAAATTTATAAGAATCTAAAGGAAGGTTATTTTAATAGTTATAAACCAGTCACCAAAGTTTCATGAAAACTGCTCAAAGCATTTTTGAGTTATTGTCCGAAAACTGGAAAATCCTCCTTCTTTTATGGCTGCCATGATATAGCCAAATGTGTTGAAAGCGGCATTTATCACCAACAAACAATGATTCTAGTATATGTAACAGGTCAAACTCTCAAATAAGATTTATTTGTGTATGTATATGCTTCTTTTAATATGTTAAAATCAAATTATTGTTACATGAAGGTTCCTTACTTACATGCTTCTCACTGACTTTAGCACCAAGGACATCCCTAAAAAGACTGGTAGCTTTCTCTATGTCTGGTGTTGCCATAGCTACATGATTTATCTTTCCAATGTTCCATTTCTATTGAAGATAATTAAAGATATTTCATTACTCCTTCATTCCTGTTCCTTTAAAAATATGCCTAAATCAAAATAATATGAGAAATTCAATAATTGGATCCCAAATTATTCCGAAATCGTTTTATAACTAAGCATAAATCAAAAATGCACTCAATTTCTCTTTTTAACACATTGTCTCGAACTCAGCTTTAAAATGAGGAATAGTGTTAATATTCCTAGACATTTTCAGTGAAGAACCTCTGATGCCTTTGGATTTTTGTTGTTATAAAAGTGAAATGTGTCCACCGGACATCATGCGCCACTCACACTTTCACATTTCAATGTTCAGTGAACCACAAAATATGGGTCAAAATTTTTTAAGGTTGCTAAATAGTAATATACAAGTGTGTTAAAAGATAGCAATACAGTGGTTCTTATTCTATTATCTATAATGACTTTTTCATATGGGTAATGTGAGACTAAAATAAAATAAAAAACGTTAATTTTTCAACCAAATCAACTGTTATCTACTAATATTAAATGAAATGAAATAAAATGCTCCGCAGGGCGCAGCTTGATACGACCGCAGAGGTCAAACCCTGAACAGTTGGGGCAAGTATGGACACAACATTCAAGCTTGATACAGCTTTGCATTTGGATTGTGATTAAATATTTGACACAGCATAGGTTTCTGACACAGAATGAATGTGGTCTAAGAACTTAAAAATTTTAAATTGGACATTCACCTATTATGTTCCAATATCCAAAATCTAAATACATGGTTAGATTCAGCATATCAAAGAACCCCAAGAATTCAATTTTTGATGAAATCAAACAAAGTTTAATTTTGGACCCTTTTGACCTCAATGTGGACAAAGTTGATAACGGGGCCCAAAAATCAAAAATCTAAATACATGGTTAGATTCAGCATATCAAAGAACCCCATATATTCAATTTTTGTTGAAATCAAACAAAGTTTAATTTTGGACCCCGATTTGGACCAACTTGAAAACTGGGCCCATAATCAAAAATCTAAATACATGTTTAGATTCAGCATATCAAAGAACACTAAACATTCAATTTTTGTTAAAATCAAACTAAGTTTAATTTTGGACCCTTTGGACCTTAATGTTGACCAATTTGAAAACAGAACCAAATATTAAGAATCTAAATACACGGTTAGATTCGGCATATCAAAGAACCCCAATAATTCAATTTTTGATGAAATCAAACAAAGTTTAATTTTGGACCCTTTGGACCTCAATGTGTCCCAATTTAAAAACGGGGCCCAAAATCCAAAAACTAAATACACGGTTAGATTCAGAATATTAAAGAACCCCAAGAATTCAAGAATAAAACCCCATTGAAATTGGTCAAGAAATAAGCAATTTATAAGAAGTATCTTCTTTTGCACAATACTGTGCAATTAAATATTTCTTGCTATTGTGCAATACTGTACAATTGACAATTTCTTGCTATTGCGCAATATTGTGCTATTGGATATTTCTTGCTACTGTGCAATACTGTGCAATTGAAGATTTCTTGCTATTGCGCAATACTGTGCAATTGAAGATTTCTTGCTATTGTGCAATACTGTGCAATTGAAAATTTCTTGCTATTGCACAATACTTATTATATAATAATTTACACATCCTGTTCGGTGTGTATCTCCTACAATATCATTATTATTTGCTTTTAAATATAAATCAGAAATAACCAACTTAAAATGAAAAATTTTAAAAGAAAAAAAAAAGGATAACCCCCCCCCCCCCCAAATTTTTTGAACCCCTTATGATTCATCACCCCCAAACTCAATCCCAGCCTTCCCTTTGTGGTATGGTACCTTGCAGTACAATTTCAGAGAGATCCATACACTTGAACACAAGTTATTGTCTGGAAACTAGAAAAATGTGTTTTTTGGCCCCTTTTTGGCCCCAAATTCCTAAACGTTTAGGGAAATTACCCCCAAACTCAAACCCAGCTTTCCCTTTTTGATATGGAACCTTGTAGTACAATTTCAGAAAGATCCATACACTTACACACAAGTTATTGTCCTGAAACTAGAAAAATGCTTGTTTTTTGCCCCTTTTTGGCCCCTAATTCCTAAAATATTGAGGCAATTACCCCCATCATCAATCCCAGCCTTCCCTTTGTGGTATGGTACCTTGCAGTACAATTTCAGAGAGATCCATACACTTGAACACAAGTTATTGTCTGGAAACTAGAAAAATGCTTATTTTTGGCCCCTTTTTGGCCCCCAATTCCTAAAGGTTTCAGCAATTACCCCCAATCTCAATTCCAGCTTTCCCTTTGTGATATGGAACCTTGTAGTACAATTTCAGAAAGATCCATACACTTACACACAAGTTATTGTCATGAAACTAGAAAAATGCTTGTTTTTTGCCCCTTTTTTGGCCCCTAATTCCTAAAATTTTGAGGCAATTACCCCCAAAATCAATCCCAGCATTCCTTTTGTGATATGGAACCTTGTGGTACAATGTCAGAGAGATCCATACACTAACACACAAGTTATGTCTGGAAGTTACAAAAATGCTTATTTTTGGCCCCTTTTTGGCCCCTAATTCCTTTACTATTGGTACCATAACCCCCAAAATCAATCCCAACCTTTCTTTTGTGGTATTGAACCTTGTGGTAAAATTTCATAGAGATCCATTCACTTAAACTAAAGTTAGAGTGTGAAAACCAATGTGTCTTCGGACGACGACGACGACGACGACGCCAATGTCATACCAATATACGACCACAAAATTTTTTTTGCGGTCGTATAAAAATTGATCCATTGTAATTGACAGCTAATACCTTGCTTATTATTTATTTTATGTTTTTATTTAAAACTCCAATGAAGGTCAGGGTCACCTATTTCTAGTATTGACCTTTATCACTAAACATGATGCATTAACAGATAATAGATCATTCCGGTGATTTTTATTTGCTTATAAATGAACCTTAATGCAAAACTTAACAACAGCTATTCATGCATAAATTGAAGGTCAAGATCACCTACATGTAATTTAAGCATGGACCTTGGTCATTATACATGATGCATTACCTGAAAAAAATCTTGACTTTAATGCAAAACTGGGACATATGAACAAACCATATGTGTTATTCAATCGAACTTTATAGGACCAGTAGATAAAAAGCAACTTAAACTAAAGTAAGAATTCTGAATGCTTAATGACTGAAAACATTGTGAAAATAACAAATTCATAATTACCTTCCTCGTTTGTCCTTGAAAAGCCAGAATCATTATTAAGATATAAATAGATTTGAGGAAAAGTTAAGATGTTGATAATTGACACCAAGAAGAATTATAGAACTATATCTTGACATGGCATTGTTAGTTTCTCTTCAAACTATGAGTTTTAAATGACCTTTTGGTATCTTCTCTCTCTTTTTTCTCACCTAAGTTATGGTCTCAGAGAGACACATAATTATCTGCAGAAAAACCTGACCTGCATTACTGGTATACCTTAGAGAGTTAAATATGTATGTTAAAGGTCTGACTTACATCTTAATTCCTTAAGACATGGGTAATTTTCTGTGGATATTTCTGACCTATATCTAACCTTAGTATACACAGGGGTATATGTCTGACCTACATCTCACCTTAATTAACATAGATGGATATTGTTGACCTAAATCTCACCTTAGATGATATAGACAGATATGTCTGACCTAAATTTCAGATTAGTAAACATAGGTGGATATAGCTGACCTACATCTCATCTTAATAGACATAGGTGGATATGTCTGACCTGCATCTCACCTTTATAAACATAGGTGGATATTGCTGACCTACATCTCATCTTAGTAGACATAGGTGGATATGTCTGACCTACATCTCACCTTAGTAAACATAGGTGGATATTGCTGACCTACATCTAACCTCAGAAGACATAGGTGGATATTGCTGACCTACATCTAACCTTAGAAGACACAGATGAATATGTTTGACCTACATCTTGCTTATACAAACATGGGTTATGTTTCTTAAATGTATGTCTAAAACTTACCTTAGTAGACATTGGTAATGTTCTGTGAACATGTCTGGCTTGTGAGTATGACTGGAAATATAAAGGTAGTCATTAAGAAGTAGTTTGGTAACTGTCTATTAGATCAATTAGTACATACATGTATATATATATATATATATATATATATATAGAGCAGCATCATTCAGCATCCAATTTTACATATGGATGAAGAATTTTCTATCCTAATGTTTTCTTATTAAATTTTCATGGCAAAGTTTTCAAAATTTATACTGACAAATAACTTTGAAATTAAAGCTGAATTATATTGTGTCGCTAGTTTTTTTCACTGATAATTTTTCCACAGAAAACATTGTTTTTTACAAAGATATAATAGGGGAATATGTGGAAAGCAGTTTTTATTTATTCTGTTTTCAAGATACTTTATAAACTAAATAAGATATCTTATAAACTAATTGAGATATCTTATAAATCAAATACGATATTTTATATATCAAGTAGAATATCTTATGGATTAGAACAGTTTATAAAGATATGTTTTTTAATTTATAAGTTATCTTACTTACGGTAAGTTATTAGTCATCTTATTTAGTTTAAAATATATTTTGTTTATTTAAACAGCTATCTTATAAACTAAATTAGATATCTTATAAACTTATTGGGATATCTTATAAATTAAATTAGATGTCTTGCAAAGTTATAAACTAAAAGATATATATTATAAACTACAAGATATGTCTTATAAACTACTAGATATATCTTATAAAATAAATAAGATATCTAATAGACTTAATAAAATATCTTATGAACTCATCAAGAAATCTGATAACTTAATCTAGAAAATATCTTATATAGCTTATAAAATATATATCTTATAAAGTAAATAAGATATCTTATAAACATGATAAAGTATATCATGAATTTATTTCTATTTTAAGTAAATAAGATATCTTATAAAATTACTAAGATATCTTATAAAGTAAATAATATATCTTGTAAACTATACAAGATATCTCATAAAGTATTTGTTTAAAATATATAAACTATATCAGTGGCGGATTCAGAAATTTTCATAAGGGGGGCCCACTGACTGCCCTAAGAGGGTGCCCGCTCCAGTCATCCTTCAGTGATTCCCTATATAATCAACCAAATTTTTCCCACAAAAGGGGGGCCCGGATCCGCCTATATATATGAGATATCTTATTTAGATTTGAAGATATCTATACCCAGAAAAAAACATATTCTATGTTTATCTAGTTATTTCTGCTGTTTTTCCCTATCTTATACAGTTTTATGCTTGACAAAAGTAAGATTGATAACATTTCCTCACACATTGTGATGTTGCTGATAACTTTTCCTAAAAAAATGTTGTTGTGAATAAGTTCTGCTTGCGTTGCAAAGCTGTGATACAAGAATTACAGAGGGACTGAGCAGGGTAATATAGAAGTTAAAGAAGATAAATTGAAATGTTTTTTATTTTTATTTTAAATCAATTCAATGGGTTTGTTTTTATAATTTTAAGGTTCATGTGGACCCTTCGTCTAAAATGGCTGCATTTTCACCTCAAAATTTACTCTGAGTACAGACAAACCTGTGCATCTGGAAAAGTTTTAAGGCATAGCATGCCCTAGATAAATAAAATTCAAATATATTTTATGTTTTAGAAAATTAAAAACTTAACCGGATTTTGCAGTGCACTTTTTTTCATTCCTCCAGAAGGTGCCAAAATAAACTAAGTTGGGAAAGAGGTTTGAGAACTTCCCCACAGGTAATAATTGGAGTGAACTGTTTTGATTGACATGGACAATAGATGGACAATAGATACCTGACAATAATTGGTGATTTAAACTGTGTATCTGAGTGGACCATATCAAGTGAAACTCAACTGTTTGTTAATTTTATCATCTTCTGCAGGGACGAAAAAAAGTGTACTGCTAAATCCAGTTAAGTTTTTAATTTTCTAAAACATACCATGCATTAGAAGTTTATTTATCTAGGGCATGCTATGCCTTAAAACTTTTCCAGATGCGCAGGTTTGTCTGTACTCAGAGTAAATTTTGAGGTGAAAATGCAGCCATTTTAGCCAAAGGGTCCACATGAACCTTAAAATTAAAAACCAGTAATTACACGGCTGAAATTCGTCTGCTAAATTGACTGAAAAGATAAGACAAAATAATATATATTTGTAAGTGAGTGAAATCTACTCACACTGTTAGGTTGTACCTTTATTATTTGACTTGAAATTTTTGAGTTAGACGTAAAATATTTCAGGGGACAAATCGAGATGGGGAAGGAAAAATATTCAACCGAGTGTTTTTACACTAATTTATCCAGTAGGGTGCCTGAATTTTTTATGACATTCGTGACATCTCATTTTAACCAAAGACTTTTGAATTTATTGCATAAGTTACCAGTTTTCTTAAAGAATTGACAAGCAATTTGGCTCCTAGTGATGACATTTTATATGTGTACAAATTTTACTATAATTTCTACTGGTTTTTGGTTTTCATGTAATATACCAGTTTGGCTACGCTTAGTTTGCTCAAAAGAGCGTATACAATAAATATTTCACTTGACATACTGTACATCTGTTTGCACTAGCACTAAAGTTGAAATTTTAATTCATAAAATATTCTTTATGGAGTCTGTTTATGCAAATGGTTTTCGTATAAGACTCTGAAAATTATCATAATAGTAATGCGACCTCTCGAGAAAGCACAAATCAAGCATACCCACTTTACCACCGGAAGTAAATATGGCAACTTTTGGCCATGCTTTCAAAGTTTCCAAGAACTCTAATATTTCCCAGGTAAATTAATGTCTCAGCTTGAATTATTTTGAGTGTCAATGCTATTATATACGATCTTAAATAAGTCTAAGAATAATTGGAAGATTTCTCAAATCGAGAACCCGTTTAATTTTAATGATATGTGTCCTTCATTTTCTGACAGTTTTGACCCTGCAAAAGTCATTGCATAATATAAATAAAGTGAAATAAAATATGGTGAACCAACACCTGAAGTGGTGATCGTGTGGTAGTGTCATACGCGGTAGAATACAGAAAGGTATTCACAGTTGTCCTTTGCCAAAGTAATAGATAAAGCGACATAAATATAACATGATTATAACATAAACACCTGTGAAAGTAAATGTAAATTGTCAGCATCTGTTCCTGCATCCACCTGCATTTTACCCTAGCACAAGATCACCACTTCAGATGTTGGTTCACTATATTTAACTCCAGTTTACTTTATTTACTGTGAACCCCTTCATCAGCAAGGATCTAATCCCTTTTGGGATTCTGAGTCTAGAGTGATTTCCTGATTTGACTGCCTGAGAATACAATGTACCTTATCAAGCCGCATTAAGTCCATTCAGGAAAATTTTTGCCAACTACCTCCCCTCGATCTGGGGCCTTTTACACCTGTGTGAGACATGTTGAGTTGATCTAAATGCATTGTCTAGGGGGGTACAATGTATCCTCTGCTATCATGGCTATGCATCATGATCACCTGTCATGATTCCATAGTCAACACCATAAGAAAGTGTCAAAGGCAGGAACAACAAAAATTGAAAAAAATTCAGAATAGCATGATTAGTAATAGTGGACGTGTGCAATCTATTATTGAGTTGGGACACCATATAACTTTTGTAATATCTCAGTTTTTCAACAGAGTTTTTTCCCTTAGATTGATTTGTTTATCTTGCATATGTCAACAAACGAAATGAAAATGACAAACATTGCATCTATTGTTTAAATAAAACAAGGCATATGGCAATCTAAAAATGAGACACATACCACTTTGCTTTTGGATTCAACACTATTTAGTGTTTTCTTCCGTTGAAAAATAGAAATGTAATAATTTGTTTTTAGTAAACACTTTTTTAGATACATAAGCATGATAAACGAATAAATGTTTAAATGAATATTATTTGTTTATATTTCACCAGGTTGTAAGATGTTGTATGTGTAAACATAATATTTATAAAGAAAGAAGATTACACACTGTATCCTTCCAAAGTGCACAGTTATACGCACAACATTTACCATCTTCATATACACAGAATGGAAAACCTGATATTAGATTCACACAGGTACGTTGGGCAGATGTAAATAATGTTACTTAAATAAAGCATAGATAAAGAGTAGGCTTCTCAGAACATTTTGAACCCAGGCCACGAAATGTATCTTTCACTACATTTTGAAAGTCTTATCATGAATTAAGGATGGTTTATTTTTGAAAAGCCATAAAGTCAAATTAGTCTAAGAATATGCTGTTCCTTGTGTAAAATATAAGTTACATGTACATTTTGGCCAAAATTTTGTAAAAGGAAATTTGATCAGATGCTTAATATTTATTTTTTACTGCCTTGACAAAAAATATGGTAGGCAGCTTATTTGAAAATTTAAAATCTGTTCTTTTCTTCACATAGAAAGTTAACTAGACAAATAAAGTAATCATTTTTACAAAAAGTGTTTTGCTTCAATAAGTTAACAAATTTAACCAAATGTCACACAGATTGCCTTCAATTTTGTCATGTTTTTTTGGAAAAGACGAAGCAAATTTAGTTCGCTAAGTACAAAATGAAGTCATGAAGTTAAAATCCTTAAATGATTGTAAGTACTTCAAATATTAACATCCAAGATATTAAAATGAATTATTGAATCAACATACTCATGAATTGATAAGTTTCTGGTTGATTGATTGTTGCTTCGTGATATAACATCCAGTGGCAAATATTTCATACACATTCATCATGAAATAATGAGGGATGGTCCATCAAATTGTATATGGACATTATAAAGAGTAAATAAAGACTGTACACTGAACTGCTAAAGGTGGTTTTATATACAAGTAAAATGTTTTTAAAATATCCACTTAATCCTATAACAGTAACCGAGAAGTTCATAATATATTTATTTTACTGTGTTTGAATGTTTCTATTAATTCATGTTGTTTTTAATTACTTACATATATTTTAATATTTCATTTAACCTTTTTTGCAGATCAGATATAATTCTGGAGGTGGGAAAAACTTTTTTCAGAATGTGTTTGAAAATATTAAACGTGACTTCGAAAAGAACAAAGAAATGAAAGTAGGTTTCATATTATCATATAAAAATAAGAAGATGTGGTATAATTGCCAATGAGACAACTCTCCAACAGAGACCAAATGACATAGAAGTTGACAACTATAGGTCACCGTACAGCCTTCAACAATGAGCAAAACCCATATCGCATAGTCAGTTATAAAAGGCTCGAAATGACAAATATAAAACAATTCAAACGAGAAAACTAACGGCCTGATTTATGTAAAAACAACGAAAGAAATACAAATATGATATACAGCAACAAACGACATCCACTGAATTACAGGCTCCTGACTTGGGACAGGCACATACAGAATGTTATGGGGTTAAACATGTTTGGCGGGCGCCCAACCCACCCCTCACCTGGGACATTGGTGCAACAACACAAAACAAGAGCAAACTGTACAAAACAATAAACGAATAACAAATATGATATACAGAAACAAAAAAACAACCACTGAATTACAGTTTAATCTTATCAAGTTTGAACCCACAAAGCAAGGTTTGATAATGTTGGTATAAATTGATTAAAGTTGTACTAATCTTACATCATTCAGCTTCAGACATACCATGTACAAGTTAATTATACCCCACGCAACGAGTTGCGGAGGGTATAATGTTTTTGACCCGTCAGTCTGTCTGTCCTTCTGTCAGTCCGTCAGTCCTGTTTCTTGTCATCGCAACTCCTCTCAAACCACACAACAGAATTTCACGAAACCTTTTTAGATAATAAGGACATACTATGTAGTTGTGCATATCGACAGGAAATTACGATTCAATTCTTTTTCTAGGAGTTACACCCCTTTGAACTTATTTACTTTAATGTACTACTGCAACAGTTTGTCATCGCAACTCCTCTCAAACCACACAACAGAATTTCATGAAACCTTTTAAGATAATAAGGACATACTACGTAGATGTGCATATCGACAGGAAATTACGATTCAATTTTTTTCCCAGAAGTTACGCCCCTTTGAACTTATTTGCCCAATATACTACTGCAACCTTTTGTCATCGCAACTCCTCTCAAACCACACAACAGAATTTCATGAAACTGTGTAGATAATAAGGACATACTACGTAGATGTGCATATTGACAGGAAATTATGATTCAATTTTTTTTTCTGATACAATTTTTTTTTCTTACACTTATTTTATTTCTCCAATGACAATGTGGGGACGTGGGGTATGTGAGCGTGCTCACTAAGGTTCTTTCATTATAAAGCTAATTGGGGAAAAGGTGAGAAAATTCAATAGTATTTTTTGGGTAAAGATTGCATTTATTCAATCAAAATCCTTATGTTACTAGCTTGATAGTTATATTTTCCAGCCTTTATAGAGTACAAAAATATAGTGGATTGAATTATGGACATTGCCTTCCAATGCTTGAAACAATGCAATGTTTGATTTTCAGTTCACTCTGCAAAATGAATGAAATATTTACTATTCAGTGCTTAGAAGTACTATGATTTTTCATAAGCAACGAATTCAAAATTATTCTCTTTGTTCATATTATTTTACAGGAAAACCTGAAGAAATTTAGGGAGGAAAGAGAGAAATTAGAACAGTCTGATGCATTGAAACAAGCCAGAAAAAAATTTGTATGTATTTAAAAATGAGTTGACTTTGTATACATTTCATTTCAAGATGTTGTTTCAATTAGAAACTTTTGTGGTTATGTTTATGTCATGTTTTCTGGCCTTAATATCATTTTAATGCACACTGGATCATCTATTTGGCAAGATGAGATCTTTGAAAAATTGTAAAACAAGTTACAAATATTTGACATGATAATTTAATCAAGTTGATTTTATTTTGAAGCTCTTATAAATTGAATAATATGTGAAAAGTGAAACATTTGCTGACTTATTTAAAAGTTTTTGGTTTGCCTCAGTGAAATAGAGGGAGACTATTGAAGTGCATTGTACCCTGGTATCTGTGTTTTTGAAGTGCATTGTACCCTGGTATCTGTGTTTGTATGCAATTTCAAAACCAATTCTCAGACCCCTAAAAAAAGACATAAATCCATATATAAAAGTAGTTGTCCACATGAATTATGGAGGGACTGACCAGTGGTCCATATTTCATGACTTATAGGCTTTGATGAAATTCTTACACTTAATTACATATATTACATTGTATATATTAAGTTTTATATAGGTGTGTAGTTGTAATAAATTAAGTGAAATTCGGTCATGTAACTTTTGTATAGGGAAGTAAATAGCCTCCCACAAAAAATCCACTCTCTAAATGCAGTTATTTGTTTTTGGTTAACCTATCTCTGGGTAATCGAGTGAAGCTTTAGTACAAAAAAAAATGTAACATACAGGGATCACTTCTGTTGTCCATTTTAGTCACACTTTATTTTAATATTTTCTTGTATATTTTTTACAGGAAAATATAGAAAAAGAAACATCTGGTCTAAAAGAGAGCTTGAAAGGAGTCAGAGAAAAGGTGTCAGAGGTGAGACAAATTCTTGCTTGGAATGACATCTTAAAAAACTTTTTTTACTTTAAAACGTGTACTAAGACTTTCTTTTAAAAGAAAATACTTTATTTTATCAATTCTTCAGAAATGTACTGCTATTGTATTATTGTCTTCCTGTACTCTAATTTACAGACAGCTTTACTATATGAAGTGAACTTTATGATGAAATTTCTTGTTAGAAATTCAGCAATCACATAACACAAGATCTAGGAATTTTGGACATTTTAGAAGTTAAATTTAATTACATTTTTTTTTTAATTAAAATTTTGAATAACAATCAAATTTTTGTTTAGCTTACAACAAAATGAAAAAAAATTACTGTACACAAATGGCTAATAACTGTTCATGTGTGTTTTAGACATTTGAAGAAGTACAGAAATCAGATATTGGTAAGAAGGCAGGGGAGATAACTGAAGAATTAGGCAAAACTGCTGGTAAAGCTGCAGAGAAATTATCACAATCTACACAAAATATATCTAAGACAGCTTCATATAAAACTATATCACAGGTTTGTAATGTTTGTAGAAAATGTTATCTGAACAGAGTTTTAGAAATATATCAAATTAGTAATTTTACAGTGCGAATATAGGTTCTGTTTATATGAAATGACCAAGATGAAGCAGAAAGTTCAGTCCTTTGTGGAAAACTGTTAATGAAAGCAGTAGATTTTTCTTTTAATTGGTCAATCCAATTTAGATGTAGAACACAAACATTCTTGTTTCGCGCAAAATCAGTTTTCATCGGTCATTGATTTTATAGAACAATCTCTATTTCACATTTAACTCAAAAATATATTAAGATGGCAGTTAATTTAACTATACAAATGGTTCTTAAAGACTTGAGAATACATTTGTTCAATCTTATTTGCTCTGTTTAATGAGCAATTGTAAAGTAATAATGTGGTTAGAACAAGATAATATAGTGTATTATGAATATGTGAAATAGCAGCTATGCAATTCAAATTTTTTAGAGTATAAGTGTATGTTTCAACGTATTAAGAAATTTGAAAATAGATAATATTTCAAAGTTGTATTAAAGTATTGATAATGTTTTTCAAACAGGGTGTTAAAGCTGTCAAAGATGAATTTGATGAAACAACTTTATCAGGGGCAACACATTATAAACCACCAGGTAAGTGTATACAATATGTTTCATGTTATTGTCAGGCTAAATTAAACTATCACTGGGATAGTTGATACAAGTGTTTTTTTATGCCCTGCCTATGATAGTAGTGGGGCATTATGTTTTCTGGTCTCTGCATCCGTCCGTCTGTCTGTTTGTCCTGTATCAGGTTAAAGTTTTTGATCAAAGGTAGTTTACCATGAAGTTGCTACACTACATGTTTCTATAAATTTCTTAAGAACTACCAATAAACAACATAATAATTGTATTATTTACACTGAAATGGATTGATAGTCAGTTCCTTCAAACTTTAGAACATATATCAAATGTGTTTCTAGACAAATCTTGGGTATTAAAGGAAAAAACAAACCTTAAATTTTTTTTGGCCTGTCTAGTTTTTCCAAAATGTCTGTCATGACCATGGCTATTAAAGTAAAAAGGTAACATGTCTCAAATTGGTAGGAAATATCAGAATTTTAATATATGCATTTAGCAGTAGAAATAACATTTTTATTGACAGTTTTCTTTCAAATGGTGGCAAGATTTTGCATCTCCTAGAAACTTGCTTGATAATTCCATCTAACTATGCTGACCGGCAATTTGTTTTATTTAAGACCATATTTTTGTTTCTCTATCATCACTATTTAGCTCAAATGTACTTTATAATACTAAGCAATGGTATTATTTTTTTTTCAGCCAAATTAAGAATGAGATCAGAGTTTGCCATGTCATCAAAAGAAGACAGACATGTAGATGCTGATGAGTAAGATTTTTTTTCACTATTGCATCAATTGTATCAATTGCACAGTATATAAGGTCACATGTACCAATATTTGAGTTAATTTAATCACTATGATCCCTACAGGTGTGGATCCAGGATTTGAGGTTATTGGGGTCATGACCCATTGTTGAGCAGTAGACCTAGGTGAAAATTGTTTTATACCAGAAAACTTTTTTTTCCAATTTTAAGGGGACCAAGCTGTATGTACCCAACCTGAATCCTCCCTTTCATTAGAAACTCCTAGGAGATGTCTGAATAAAAAAGGATTTAATGTTTCATAATATAACCTAAAATATTACAATGCCTACATATTTTTGAAAGTAAAAATAAGCAAGCAAGCAAACAAACAAGTCCAGGTGTACAGATGAAAATATACTTCAGATTAACAATTATTGGGAGAAGTTTTTTAAGTCTATGAATATTTTAAGCAAAGATTTTTCTCAGTAATTTTAAGTACTAAAATAAGGCTTCAATCGAACTTTTTTATGAAATAAAAAATAATGACAGTGACTTTTATCAGGTTATTAGTTCACCTGCCCCAAAGTGCAAATGTAACAGCTAGATATGGATCATTTATGAATTACATTTTGGTTGTCCTATTTTTTAGATAGATGCAGGTGAAGCTGCTTACAGGGAAATTCTGTCTTATTTTTTTTGTTATGTAGTTCCAAAAAGAGTTTTAATACTTTCTTTGGCTTGGGTAGTTCCTATATACTGTACATAAATTTCCAGTGACAGATATTCATTATTTTTTTGAAAATGCCCCTTTCTTCCTTACACTAGCTGTATATGGGGATTTTACTCCATTTTGAGGTCCAAGTTCTTGAAGATAACATATACATATAAGTTTCTAACAGAATTTTTTGTCAAATAAAGCAGACCACTTCAGAAATAACTAAAATAGTTTCTCCTTTGAGACCTTTCATCAACTCAATCCTACCTGAATGTTCTCTCTGTTGTTCATGGTAAACATAGACATGTGAGTGATGCAAATTCATTGTAGTCGGTAAATGCAAGTTAACTGTGATAACTATTTATTATAATTTCAGTGAGTCGACTGGTATGGTTCTTCATAAAGATTCTAAATGGTATCAGAGCTGGCAGAATTTTAAAGACAATAATGCTTATATGAATAGTAAGTATTGATGTTATAATAAATTTGGTCATATACATGTAGTCTTGACTTATATTTAAATCATTTCATCAGTAAAGACAACACCCTCAATTACTGCAGGCTTATTTACTTTTTCGACTGACAATTTGGGCTATGTTCATCTCTCTGTAGACATTGTCTTACTGATAATTTTTGCTGTTTACAGGTTTTTTATCCACAAAAATTTCCCCCAAAAATGCAAAAAATGGTTAAAATCATCATTAAATGGAAATGGACAGTAGGATTCAAATGAGTTGAATTATTGACTTGCAAGCCAATAATAAATAAGCAATGTTTTGGAGCTTATTTGGTTAAAATTGAAGCAAACTGATTGCTAATAACAAAACATTATTTTAAAATTCTGCTTTTATAAATGTTTGAATAAAAAAAAATCTTTCATTTGTTTATCTAAATCAAACCTAAAAATGCCCCTTTAGAAAAATCATTTTGGGGGTATTTCAACTAAAAATTGATGCGTAGGTAGGATTTGCTATTTTTATTATTGATTCACAATGTAAAATTTGAAGTAAAAACTTAGTTTTTGTAATAAAAAAAAATCACAAATTTTGAATAAAATATCTTTTTGTGCTAGGATTCCAAACAAAATTGTTAACCAGTTATTATATGCTTCCAAATTGAATCATTGTGTCAAAATTATCTGTCAGTCTCCTTTTCCAAAGTGGCTACCAAATTTTACGAAAAAATTCAAGTGCTTTTGATTTCGATGAAACTATATTCATGGAAAACTGAATTAATTCATAATGTCAATATACAAAATACTGATAATGCCATGGAAATATATTGCTTTGCTTGCATGAGTACTGTTTACTTTTTTCTGTGTCTCACACAAAAATGTGCAAGCAGGCCCTTGCTGTCAGACATGTATGAGATATGTGAGCTTACTCACTAAAGGATCTTAGTTTATTTTATTAATAAATTATTATATAAAATGTATTAATTTTAAAATGTAATTAACTATTTTTCTTTTCTATTCACAGAAGTATTTGATTTAAAGATGAAATACGATGAAAGTGATCATTTAATAGTCCGAGGAACAAGATTTTTTACAGATAAAATGGGTCAATTATTTGGTAAGTTGTGATGACATTAATTCCTTGTTTTTGATCTCATTTTCACTCTCCCAGTGGTCAGGTTATGTCTGTTCCTCAGTAACTATACATGGTGGGTAAAATAATTAGTTTATGGATTAGTTGCAAGGAGTTTATGTCGTCCAACATCTGTCATAGGCCATGACCTCAAATTCTTTCTCCAGTGCTGAGTTAAAAGTTTTCAGGCTTAGGTTTGTTCCTCCGTAACTATGCATGGTGGTAAAACAAATGTGAATTGGTTGGAAGGAGTTTATGCCTGACTGTGTAGCTAAGAAGTTATACATGATAGATTGAAAATATTCTGCATGTAAATTAATTACATGTACATAAACATTGATCAGTAAGTTGACCTCAGTAAGAAATTGTATTGTCTTTATAAAAATCAATAAAATGCACCACACAATTGATTTGTTTTTTTGCATAGATATTTAATTTTTAATCAATTTACATAGGATGATTAATTATCATTTAACAAAGCAGTGACTGGGAAACAGTATAGTATTTTATAATAAATCTCCTCCTCTAAAATAAAAATTAATTTTTACTAAACTCTGCCCTATTCAAAAAAAGAACTAACTAGTATTAAATTATAATATATCTTTGATAATGCACCCTACAAAAGTTAATATAACTCTTGTAAATTGTAATTAAACATAAGGTAAAACACCAATTTGTATAATTCCCTTTCAATTAATGTGGCCAGTGAGGTCAAAACGTGGAGGGATTAGTTCATTGGTGGCCCCTTTCAGATCTAAATTGGATGATTGTTGATACAATAAACATGATAAATAGAAAATTTTCTAAAAAGTAGGACTTAGGTAATTTATTTTTGCCTATTTTATTTACTTTACATTAGTTTGTTGTTTAGAGAGAAGATTTTCAAATTTACATTCAGTGACAATATCTTGCTTTCAATTCATTGTTTACATTCTTGCTAATATTTTCAACAGCATACACCAAAACGTTGTTATCAGTTAATATAAGTTATGGAATATAACACTTAAAGATTTCTATGAAAAGTCACGCATGTCAACCAACACTTGATTTGAATCATCACAAGGAGGTCTTGTTTCAAAATTATAATCAATTATGCAGTCCCTGGAAAACTTAGTTCTATTATTGATAGAGGGACTTTAGTCTTAATTTGGTTTTTGGCATACTGTGGATTCATTATTATTCATGGGATACCATTTTATGTGGATATCATGGGTAAATGTGAACTAGTTCAAATGTTCAACAAAGTGTACATTTTCTAAAGCCTTGTATTCAGACTTGCAAATCAACGAAAATGAAATATCCCAGAAAACACAATGTTCCCTCATTTCATGAATATTGGTATGCAGGAAAATAAATTAATCATGGATATGAAAGGACATGAGCTAGCTCCGACTGTATTGTATTCATTATCAAATGAATATTGGAAAGCAACATATTTTTTTTTGTTCTAGGCGGTGTATTTAGTAAAACAGAACTGTCAGATGTATTAACAGAAATTTGTAAAATTGAACCTGATTTTGATAAAGAAAGATTTTTAAAAATGTGTGAAAAAGAAATAATTCCTAATATTTTAGAGGTAAGTGTGAATAAAAGGAGATTTGGGGTAAACATCACTGATACAGTTTCCCAGCAACAGAAGTCAACAGAATTTAACTTTTATAGACATCTAAGGGCCATCAATCTGTCCTCAAAGAAGGACAAGGTATGACAAACTCTTAATTTCTATGAATACCAACAAGTTGTGACTACATTCAACAGAAATAATCCAATATGTGACACTCAACTTTCAGTAGACAAACCAAAAAACCACAAATAATTACAGCTACCAGTGAGAAGATTCCTGACTTGGAACAAGCATATAGACATTATGTTGACTTTGTTAGTACTTACAACTCTTCCCTTCATGCCCTTTGCAGATATTTAAAATGTACACTAAAAACCAGCCCTGAAAAGAAACCACTTTATTACTTTGGTATTACAGCATAGCAAAATAAAACTAAATAAAATAATTCTGTATAATACAATACAGAATGCCCACAAGTGATGAACTGAAGCTTAAAGCACTCAAACTGATTATTATACAGAAAAATCATGCTTTGTTACGCACATAGATCTTCACACTCCATTATTCATTTTGCTCAAGTTTTCCATAAAAGGCCATTGATCTGGACTTGGTTGCACAAACGCAATCAAAGATAAATGATGTTTAAATGTAAAGAGAATTAAATTAGTTGGGTTTGTTCATGAGTTCATTGATACTTAAAATTTAAACGTTATTGAACTTTAATTGACATTTTTGCATCCCAGTGCTGTCCATTAACATTTTAATGTTTGAAATGTTTTTGTTGTACTAAATACCAATATTTTGTTATGGATTCAGTAAGATCCCCCTCCCCTGCCCTCCTCAGAGAATAATGTCTTGTCACTGTGAAAACTACAAAAAGAGGTTTAAATCAACATAAGCTATTTGACAGGCAACCAAACTCGTACAGATTTTTATCACAATGATTTTTGGGGTTTTCTTTAGTCAAACAATGTTTTTTAGTTGTTTCAGATGGGTACACTCATCTTTAATATCTGCAACTCCCAGTGGCGGATCCAGAAATATTCATAAGAGGATGCCCGCTCCAGTCATGCTTCAGTGATTCCCTATATAATCAACCAAATTTTTCCCACAAAAGGGGGGCCCGGGCCCCCTCCCGCCCCCCCCCAATTGTTTGTGAAATTGATTTCTTAGGTTGCCCATAGCCAAAATGGGGGTTTCAATGTGGGTAAGAGGCACGATCTATTTCATTTGTTGTTCACATTGTTTTCTTTGCTTTTGATTATCCCACTAAAGTTTTTTTAGTGTAATTTTTTTTTTCAAGACTACAAATTATATTTTTTTTTGGCTGTAGAACAATGTAACTTTCATTTATATTGATAATTTAAAGTTCTCATAGTATCTTGTTTTCAATTGTAGGCAATTGTTAGAGGTGACTTAACAATATTAAAAGATTGGTGCTACGAAGCAGTAAGTATGCTCTAACTTTATTGTCAGCTTGATTTTATAATTACATTTCATGAGCCTCTTTCTTTTCATTTTATTAAAGCAATACCAGGTATTTCAATACCACCTGAAATTGCAAGCTTGTACATTGTACAACAGTTTTTGTCTTGCTTGCGAAACTTAGTCATGCAGTTTCCAGAAGATGCATTAACCATTGTATAAGTTTCTGACTAGGTCAGTTCTGCTAAGAACCACTGATGGTAAGTCTATGATAGTTGGTGTGCAGTCGTATTTGAATTGGCACATTTCATTCTAATGAGATTATTCAGGCCAACAGCCATGGTTCATAGAGTTTGAAAGTTTTTGCTGTTTCATGTTTAAGTTTGTTATTAGGTAAGATTAAGGGGAACATCTACTGGTAATACAGGTTTAAAACATTTTGCACATCACATTTCCATGGAGATTATCCAATCACGCTCACTTAGTCAGCATCCATTAACTTTGAAACCTTTGCATTGATTACATGTTAAAAGTTTGGATATTTGGTCTGCATCTTTGTATTAGCATTGGGACATCTCATTTCCATTTAGATCATTAACAGTGTATTAATCTGTAAACAGAAGGATTTAAGAACATATATAATACCTTTGTAAATTGTTTTAGTTCAGATTCTTAGAGATGAATAGTTAATAAGAGGTGTGTTTGTTTATTTTATAAATTTAAGTATCTTCAAAATATTGTTTTTTTCAGCCATTCAATGCATTAGCAGCACCAATTAAAGAAGTAAAGAAAGCTAAATATGTAATGTGTTCTAGAGTATTAGATATAAATAACCTTGATGTAAGTAGCTCATATCATTACACAAATTTTGAAATTGTCTGCCATTGAAGGAAATCAATTCTGTAATATATTTAGAGTCACTACAGAAAATATTTTATGTCACTGACCAAAGTGATTGTTTTGTAAAAGACATTTATTGGTAAATCAGTGCAAAATTTAAATGTCTTATAGTAAAATCATGGAAATTGAAATTAAAGTATACAGTTATAGTTATATATGAGTACACATACATACTAAAAGAAATTTTAAAAAAGCAGCACTTCAAGATTTGTATTGAAAAAAATCCAACAGGTGGTCTTATAATGCAATATAAAAGTGTTAGCAGTCATTAGGTTTAGGATATATTTAATGGTTTCTGAGTAACTTATGATATCAATTTAATATAAAAGTTTAAAAAAGAAATATAATATAAATTGCGTACTGGGTCAGTTATTACATAGGGCTGTCCTAGAGAATATGATGTCTTTGAAAGCTTTTAATTTTATATAACTGTAGGTGGTGGGGAAAATTAGAAAATTTCCAGTGCTTTTAAAGTATAAAAAAAATGTTGTCGAATGGGCTAAAGTGTATTGAAAGAAAAAAAAAGATGTACCCCGGTAAGGTCTTTAAAAGTGAGCTAGGAAGCAATTCCTTGTGTTAGATTCAGACAAATATAGTTACAATTAAAGCACTTTGAACTTATAATATGTCTTCTATAAATTATTGATATACTTGAACAGCAAAGAGAAAAAGCATTTGGAATGCTAGAATAAAGCGATAGTTGTAATTTCTTTATATAACAAACTAATGGTTGTATTGTAGTTAGCTGCAGGAAAGATGATGGAACAAGGACCGGTACTAGTTATAATGTTTCAATCACAACAGATTATAGTTGTTAAAGATCAGAAAGGCAATGTTATAGAAGGGGATCCAGTAAGTAATTCTATAATCACACAGAAAAACACCCAAGTTTTACCACACTTCAGACCTGAAAGCTATATTTAAAGTCTAACATGAAATCCAAAAAAATTACAGAAATCTTGCCTTTCTTTCGTAAAACTTAACTCAGTTCTTGGAGTACAAAATTTTTGCTCAAAACATCAAATCCAGTATTTTGATTGGTTTATTTCTAAGTTTGAGTACCATAATCGATGGAAAGGATGCTTGTAAGAGCAGGAACTCTTGACCTGTATAATATTTTAATGGGTATATCATAACATTGAGTGAAGTTGAACAGACAGAAATATAATGCTTTTCCTGTAGATTAAAGAGAAAACAGACTTGGCTTAGTCTTAAATGTACAGCATAATAAAATCAAAATTGATTTGATAATTTCATCCTACTTTTTTTAAAACTGGAGAAGGAAAGTATTTCATTAAATACATAAAAGATTTTTAAATGTACAAAAAAAAATTGATAAAGGTTGTTTTAAATTTTGTGTTTTTCTGGCTATATACTGTACAGTAAATATGAGATGGCACATTAACATGTCTCTCCTGCTGCAAAGTTTTAATATCAATATGGTAGTTAGTTTATTGGTTGATTGTTCAGTGCTTGATGTAGTTATTCTAAAGATCATTGAACTTTGAAACTTAGGTCAAGGTCAAATACAACTTGTAAGATGAAATTCATAGAACTTGATAAATCTAATCTTTCTTTCAGGACAAAATAATGAGGGTAACCTATGTTTGGGCTTTATGTAGAGATCAAGAAGAATTAAATCCAAGAGCAGCCTGGAAACTATTAGACATTTCTGCCGTAACTGGTTCTCAATTTTTATAGCATTGATACAATTTAGGATTTATTTTGTAGTCTGTGATGTGATAACTAAAACAATAATGATGTATTTATGTATGTACAAAAGTATGAAATATAGAAATGCAACAAATAAAATTAATATGATTGACAAAAGTTTTTATCCACCAAATTTTGCAATTGTATTATTGTATTAAACAGTTTGAAGACAAATCACATGGAGAAGATATCAGTTTATACAATGTACTTTCTTAAGGAAAACATGTTTTATGTTAATTGTTTGAAAGTTGCTTATTAGAAGTTTTTTTGCAAATTTGTATAAGTACTTGATTGCTAAATGCATTAATGGTATGTGCTTGCCTCAAGTGTTAAGTTGAACTAAAGATTTTAAAATTAATATATGTTTTCTACACCCAAGCACAAATCTTGTAAAGAGAGCAAAAAACTGGTTTGCTTCGAGTCACAATAACAGGGTTTGAAATTAGCAGGGGCACACTCGCCAATGGCCCCTAAAACTTAGTGTGGGCTACTTAAATTTCTGCTTTTCTTGTATAGGACTATATATGTGGGCTACAAAATTAAAGCTGTTGGCCACCATGCCAAAATTTTAACTTCAATCCCTGCAATAATATGCACAAACTGCAAAGGCAATGTAGGCATCAGTCGATAATACCAGAGAATCTGATTTAATCCCTGGTTTTAAAGTTGGGTTTATATTGCACAATATTGAATTTTCTGTGTAATGTTTAGTGCAGTATTGTTTGTCTTTTTATGCCCCTGCCATAGGTAATGGAGACATTGAGTGTTACCCTTGACCATCTTTCCGTCCTTCCCATTTTTGTTTCCGCACTCGAACTTAAGTTTTCCTCATCCAAATTTTATACAACTCATACACAATGCTAAGAATCAAATCTTGCAGACAGAGTTCGAAATTTGGGCAGTGTGTCATTTACCGTTCTAGAGTTTTGCCCCTTTTTAACTTGGAAAATTGCAAAGCTTGAGCGAGGGCATTCGTGTCCTCAGAGGCTCAGACACATTATTCTTTAATCTTCTCTTGTACATTTTCTCTTTATTGTGTGTCTTTCTTTGACTTATGATTTTTAACCCTTTGGAACCTTCTTGTTTCTCATCCCACTTTGGAAATCTATAATAAGGACCTATAGTAGGGTGGCCAGTGTACAAAAAGTCCTCTAGTTAACGAGTTTAAGTTAACAGAATAACACACGGCTAATTTTTTTTGCGATTATAGGAAAATCATTATATTTTACTATCATGATTGTTGTCCTAAGTTCCCATGGTCACGATTATCTAAATTTCCTGTTTTTACAGGGTACACCCAGATACAGTATTGTACAGGGAATCTTTAACATGAAAAATAAAATTTGTGTGCTTTGTTGGTGGTTAAAATAGTACTTATAATATAGTTTATATCTTAAATATATTATATAACAAAAGCTGAAAGTATTTAAGTGATTTTAGTATAAGTATTCAGCATTTTCGTAAGACTACCTTTTTAACTTAAATTAACCACATTTTCGTCAAAAGCAAAATTATTACATGTATCATCACGATATTTTTTACTTTGATTAAAGCAATATATATATATATATATAAAAGACACAGTGTATGTGTGTGCCAAATTTCATGTGTGAAATAAAAGTCGTTTTGAAGAAATTAGCAATTAAAAACACAAATTACGTCAACATTTTGGCATTGATTAAACATGGATTATCTCATGTCATTAATCATTTTTGTTGATTACACTATAATTAACCAGGACAGTGATCACTCAATACATTTCTCATTTTTGGAAAGTTTGCTATAGCTTGCTATAGCAATATACTTTCCTAAGGCATCGGCCTCAAACCAGAAGTTGGACAAACTATCGCAAGTGTTCTACTCCTAGATAATGTAGTACTAGTGTTTGAATACTAATTCTAGGAAGATGCTTTTGAAATTTTGAGTTACTTCTATTTTGATTAGCTTACAGCTTGAATTAAAATGTACTGATTGTTCATCGATAATTCAAATGAATTCAACTTCATTTTGAAAATGGCTATCACAAACACTATTTCGCAGATCTGCGCTGCTCGGAAATTAAAATCAATACACATCTACACGAGACAGCAGTTTCTACATTATGCTTTTATTGGTATTCCCCAGACACGCGTGAGATCCATATATGTGTACCTCCCAATGGGAGTACAATAATCCCAGTTTCAGGGGTTTCTTCCCGTCCTCCGGTTGAATAGAAAATAAATACCGTGTTTAAAATATTTCTTGAATGAACATTTTTCGACGCTATTTTTACTACGATTATTACAAATGTTAATTAAAGACGTAAAAGCCCGAGTGTATCGAAAGTAACCTGGTATCTCATCTCGGCCCATAACAGACTTGGACTATAACAAACTTGGCCTATTAAAAAATCGGGACTATAACAAAATTCGTATATACTATTTGTTATTAAGTCTCCCAAACAAAGTTTGGAGACTTATTGTTTTTGCTCAGTTCTTATTATTTTCTTCTTGGGGTCTATTTATGGGTATTTTGAGTGGCCTACAGTAGGGAGGGATTTACTAAAGAACCCTATTGGATTTTATTTTTTTAAAAATGACTATAACTTGAGAACAGTAAGCGATAGACACACCCGGTCTTCAGTAATGATCACAGGACAATAAAACAAATCAAATAAAATATAGGTTGAGTCCCTGGGGTCACCCCCTCCCCCAACCCCCTTTCAATTTGAGAATGGGCTTTTATCTTGTAAACAGTCGAGATCCCCACACCTAAACCATATATATTCATGTATGGGATAATAAAACAATTCAAATGAAATATAGCGGGAGTCCCTCTGGGTCACCCCCACCCCTCCAGTTTGAGAACTTGTAAACGGTAGAGATACCCGCCTTGAAACCATATATATTCTTGTATGGGACAATAAAATAAATCAAATGAAATATAGGGGGAGTCCCTGGGGGTCACCCTACCCCCTCCTGTTTGAGAACTTGTAAACGGTCGAGATCCCCACCCCTAAACCATATATATTCTTGTATGGGACAAAAAAACAAATCAAATGAAATATAGGGGGAGTCCCTGGGGGTCACCCCCACCCTCTCCTGTTTGGAAACTTGTAAACGGTCGAGATCCCCACCCCTAAACCATATATATTCTTGTATGGGACAATAAAACAATTCAAATGAAATATAGGGGAAGTTAATGGGGGTCAACCCCACCCCCCTTCTTTTTGAAAACTTGTAAACGGTCGAGATCCCAACCCCAAAACCATATATATTCTTGGTTGGGACAATAAAACAAATCATATGAAATATAGGGGGAGTCCCTGGGGGTTACCCCCCCTTCCTGTTTGAAAACTTGTAAACTTCGAGATCCTCACCCCTAAACCATATATATTCTTGTATGGGACAATAAAACAAATCAAATGAAATATAGGGGAAGTTAACGGGGGTCAACCCCCACCCCCCTTCTTTTTGAAAACTCGTAAACGGTCGAGATCCCCACCCCAAAACCATATATATTCTTGTATGGGACTATAAAACAAATCAAATGAAATATAGGGGGAGTCCCTGGGGTCACCCCCACCACATCCTGTTTGAGAACTTGTAAACGGTTGAGATCCCCACCCCTAAACCATATATATTCCTGTTCATGATTTCAAGAAGATTTGAATGACATACAGGGTTAATCCCTAGGCGTCATTTATGCATATCACTTTACTAGACCAAACCAATTTGTACTGGACTTTGCCCAATGTCAGGCGACCATGGGAATGACAAATTATGGGAGCTTTGTTTGGGAGACTTCGTAACAGCATCCTGTTACAATTATTTCTTGTATTAAGTATAAAAAAATTTTAGAAGTCGGAAAAAACAGTTAACCACACAATCTACTAATTGTAGTCCGAGTTTGTTCAATATATAACAATTCAAACAAGAAAACTAACTGCTTAATTAGTAATACATGTAATACAATTTACTACAAACAAATATGAAGGACCTTAATCAATAAAAAATACTTAATCACAGGCCCTTTACATGGGATGGGCACAGAAAGAAATTAACAGAGCTTTCTGTACATTTGATTATTTTAAATCTACAGTTTAAGGTTGCAATAGAAATTATCAAAATTTTACATGACAAACATATGAAAAAAGTGATTTTTATACGACCGCAAACAAAATTTGCGGTCTTATATTGGTATGACGTTGGCGTTGTCGTTGTTCGAAGACACATTGGTTTTCGCACTCTAACTTTAGTGTAAGTGAATGGATCTCAATGAAATTTTACCATAAGGTTCAATACCACAAAAGGAAGGTTGGGATTGATTTTGGGGGTTATGTTACCAACAGTTAAGGAATTAGGGGCCAAAAATAAGCATTTTTGTAACTTCCAGACATAACTTGTGTGTTAGTGTGTGGATCTCTCTGACATTGTACCACAAGGTTCCATATCACAAAGGGAATGCTGGGATTGATTTTGGGGGTAATTGCCTCAAAATTTTAGGAATTAGGGGCCAAAAAGGGGCAAAAAACAAGCATTTTTCTAGTTTCAGGACAATAACTTGTGTGTAAGTGTATGGATCTTTCTGAAATTGTACTACAAGCTTCCATATCACAAAAGGAAAGCTGGAATTGAGTTTGGGGGTAATTGCCCTAGACGTTTAGGAATTTGGGGCCAAAAAGGGGCCTAAAAACAAGCATTTTTCTAGTTTCCAGACAATAACTTGTGTTCAAGTGTATGGATCTCTCTGAAATTGTACTGCAAGGTACCATACCACAAAGGGAAGGTTGGGATTGAGTTTAGGGATGATGAATCATAAGGGGGTTCAAAAAATTTGGGGGAGGGATTTTTTTTTCCTTTTTTTCCTTTTTTTTTTCTTTAAAATTTTCCATTTCAAATTGGTTATTTCTGATTTATATATAAAAGCAAATAATAATGATATGGTTTGAATAGGTAAATTAAAGATTTTTAAGTTCTTAGACCACATTCATTCTGTGTCGGAAACCTATGCTTTGTCAAATATTTAATCACAATCCAAATTCAGTGCTGTATCAAGCTTGAATGTTGTGTCCATACTTGCCCCAACTGTTCAGGGTTCGACCTCTGCGGTCGTATCATACTGCGCCCAGCATTTTATTGATAATTGCTGATGAGACAATGGTTTAGGGAAAAACACCAAAGCTGTGATTAAATACATATTTGAAATAATACACATCTACAACCTATTTGAAATAATACACATCTACAACCTATTTGAAGTAATACACAACTACAACCTATTTGAAATAATACACATCTACAACTTATTTGAGTTAATATACACCTACCGTTGCAAACTTTCCTAAGGTGCTATCCAGCACTTTGATTGCTTGTGTGGTTGATTTATTTGTTTTAAACAGCCAGCTAACTTTGTAGATTATTTTCTTTGAAGGAATATGTTTTGTGTCTGTTTTTCAAAACTTTAAACTCTTTATTGAATAGATATATTTGTTATAATTGTAGTATAAGAATCAAATCAGAGGGTTTCGTTTCACACCCGGAATATGGCACATCAAGCCCATGTTATGGTCTAAATCCCCCTCAGTGTGAACGACAACAAAAATGTACCTTGAAGTAATACACATCTACAACCTATTTGAAATAATACACATCTACAACTTATTTGAGTTAATATACACCTACCGTTGCAAACTTTCCTAAGGTGCTATCCAGCACTTTGATTGCTTGTGTCGTTGATTCATTTGTTTTGAATAGCCAGCTAACTTTGTAGATTATTTTCTTTGGAGGAATATGTTTTGTGTCTGTTTTTCAAAACTTTAAACTCTTTATTGAATAGATATATTTGTTATAATTGTAGTATAAGAATCAAATCAGAGGGTTTCGTTTCACACCCGGAATATGGCACATCAAGCCCATGTTATGGTCTAATTCCCCCTCAGTGTGAACGACAACAAAAATGTACCACCGTTCGTGCTATAAATTATACACCAGCAGACACAACTGCAGTGATTTCAAAGCTGAATTGGCAATAGGTTTGTCCGATCAAACCACCGAGGCCAATGACCTATATGTGCCAAGCACGCATGTTCAAACTATCTGCCATGTTTCAAATTGAAATGTTTGGTTTTTTTGTCTGTAAAAATAATTCAATTAAAAAAAGATCAGTAGTTAAGAATTATATGATCAGCTATAAAAGGCCCAGACAAAACAAAGTGTGAAACAATCCAAACGAAAAAATAACAGTCTCATTTATGACAACAACAAAAAACAGATACAACAGACAGCGACCTACGACAACCACTGAATTGTAGGCTCCTGACTTTGAACAGACACATACAGAATTTGGCAGGGTTTTACATGTTTGTGATCCTTCAACCCTCCCCTTACCTGGACAATGGTATAACAACACATCTGCAAAAAAACAGTTGGAACTGGCTTGACTCATCAAATCGTCATGGTGCACAAAAACAACTAACATGAAGACAAAAGACCCAAAGTACCGATCTAATAGTACTCACTGTTAAGATACAACCATTTTATATTAAGGGAAAAGGGGGTGGGGGTGTAGTTGGCAGGAAAATTTTTCCCGCTTGACCTTTTTTTTTCAACTGTTTTTTACACTACTGTTTCAGGTTAGGGTGAAGGTTGGCGCCTGTTGAAACATTTAAACCCGTTGCATTTGTATGCATCTGTCCTAAGTCAGGCGCCTGTTGTTC